TCCGTAAGAAAGTCCGAAGGCGTTTCCATTGCCCGATCTCAAGCTATGAACCGCCAAGAAGTTGAAGCGTACTTTGAACTGCTCCGCACCACCCTCGAAGAGCATAACTTGTTTGATAAACCAGGCCACATTTATAACATGGATGAATCTGGTCTGCAGCTGAACAGCAGGCCCGGACATGTCCTGGCAGCAAAGGGTTCGAAAGCAGTTTCAACTGTTACTTCGACTGAGAGAGGAGAGACGATTACCGTCATAGGCTGCTGTAACGCTGAAGGGACAGTTTTACCACCAGCATGCATAATGAAAGGTAAAAACAAGAAACCAGAGTTTACTGACAATATGGCTCCTGGTTCTATCCTGTATATGTCTCAGAAGTCGGCCTATATCAACAGTACCATTTTCCTGGAGTGGTTAAGGGACCACTTCCTTCCTCGAAAACCAGCTGGGAAAGTGCTGCTAATTTTGGATGGCCACGGCTCACACTCCACATCAATCGAAATGCTGAATTTTTGTGACTCCAATGACATAATTCTATTATGTCTGCCGAGTCACACAACACATTATCTCCAGCCACTTGATAGAGCGGTGTTTAAATCCCTTAAAGGCAACTTTTACAACGCCTGCCGACTGTGGCTAAAAAATCATCCGGGTCGTCGCATCACGAGACAACAGTTTGGACAACTTCTGCAAGAAAGTTGGGGCAAATCAGCATCTAATGAAAATGCGGTTTCCGGTTTTAGAGCATGTGGGATTTTCCCATTTAACCCACAAGCGATTCCAGATTTTGCGTTTGCTATTGCAGACAACGGCGAACTGCCGGTTCCCGTTGATGATGCAGTACCCGAGAAGACTAAACAACCTAATTCAAAAAATTTGCGTGACCCGTTACCTGACAAACCCGAAAGAACAGAACTTAGGGAAGAAAAAGATGAGCCGCAACCTAGTACATCCAAAGAAATTCGTCACGTTCCAGAAGAGTCTCCAATGACAAAACTTCTCCACGGAATCTCTCCAGTACCGGTACTGGTACAGTCTGCCAAAAAGCGCGCAAAACAAGTTGCATCTCTTCTAACATCGCCAGAAAATCGTAAGGAATGTTTGCAGAAATCATTAAAGAAGAAACCAACCAAAGAGAAAATGATGGTGAAAACACCGAAGTCTCAAAAGAGAAAAACAATGCGTGACTCATCCAGTAGCGATGAAGCGGAGGTGGTGTTCGCTGAAAGTTCTGATAGTGCCGGTGAAGAGTTTAATGAAAACGAATGTGTAGGATGTGGTGAGTGTTATTTCTCCACGACTAAAACGGTCGACTGGATCCAATGCATTCGCTGTAACTTTTGGCTACACGAAACCTGCACCACTTTTGGCGACCACTGTCAAAATTGTGGTAAGATGAAATTGAAGGAAAAAAAATAGAGGGCAAAACTATTCCTTACCTACTGGTTTTTACTGTTTATTTTTTGAATTAATTAATGATGATTTCATGTTTCATTTTAGCACCAATAAATACTTACCTTACGTTGTCGTTTGTACCCTGGCCATATTTCCCCTAGTAGTATGGCCATCTTACCCGATAGGTTGGGGAGAGATGGCCAATTGCATTGTTTTCGTTTTTGATTTTTATGTTAATCATTTTTTTAAAATAAAGTCTTTTTACCTCAGGATGTAGATTGCCGATACTTTAGGAAGTATATCCATGCAAGAGCGGTTCTTTATTGCAGTTTCTAGTGAAATTTTCATGCACGATATAAAACTATGGCCATCTCCCCCCCACTTACCCTACACACTTTGTTTCTTCTACAACATAAAAAAACAGTTAGGTGCGTACTCTTGGACGGGTTTACCCTATTGTTAGCAATTTCTTCGATTAAAAAGGACTGGTTCGAAGTTTAATTCTTGAAATTAAAACGCGAACTCAGCTTAACCCATTAAGTCCCAACTTTTAAATTTTTTGAAAACTACCGATTTTTCTAGTTAAACATGTTTATTATATGATAAACAGAACACAAAAAGTTGAAAAACAAAAATTGGAACAGCATTTTCGAAAATATGATGCGTCCTATATAGGACGCTGGGATTTACTGTTATAAATATGTCCTTATGTAGGTAATATGTTCGAAACATAAATTCCCTAAATATTGAGACTAAATATAAAAAATACTGTCATATTCGATAGTTATGCCACTATACTCTTTTTTATCGTGAGATGCAAAAAAAGTCATTTTGAATGATACGGAACAAAACATTGTTTGCAAAGAGTCACCTGGCACTTTACACAAAATGTCAATGGCTTTGATTTACAATTGTCCCCTTGACATCTTCTTTGCTTGTCTCTTGTTCCCATAAAATGACTTTTACTGTCATAACGAACATCGTCAAAAATCTTTGATGCGGATGACATAATCGGACGACCTAAGGCTGGTTTTACTCCAAGTTTCAAGTAGGTTACTGCAATAGCTCTTCTAAATGTGAGTAGCGGCATGCTCGACTTGTTTATCATTTTGTAAATGATCCAAGAATTTACAACCGCCATGTCGATCATACGAGTAAATAGCGCCCAGTACCACTTCTTAGCTCTAATTTGAACAGCATACTTGCCCACATTCCAGTCATGCTGATCTACTCCACTCATGTGAATATTATATTGCTTCAAAACCCTTGGTTGCGGAATTTGCTTCTTTTCTTTGTTTTTTCTGTCCCATCGTGCTGCTTGATGCAATGGTTCAATTGTTTCATGATTTGTGGCGATAGTGACACATTTGTTGTCATTCCATTTCAAGAAAAGGATTTCCCCACTAGAATCAAATCTGTAGTCAAAAACACCACGAGACTCTTTTCCAAGACTCTTCGAATCCTTTATGGGGCACTTAGCTAACCTGTTTTCCCTCAAAGTTCCAGTTGCACGAAAACCTTTTTGTTGTAAATATAACAACAAGTCTCTGCTGGTGAAAAGGTTATCGAAATAGACACAATGACTTGATGCATCTTCTACGCAGTCAAGAAGATTCACAACGACTCTCGAACCTAAAGCTAAATCACCATTTCTTGCGACATTTGTTGAGGTTTCAGCACCACAGTATAAGTCAAACTGGAAGCAGTATCCATTAGAAGAACACAAAGCCCACAGTTTATATCCAAATCGTATTGGCTTTCCGCGTATAAATTGCTTCAATCCATGTTTACCGAAATATTTCACGATCATCTCATCGATAGATAACTCTTTGACAAAAATACCCCATTGCTGAAATTTTTCATTCATCTGGATGATAAGTGGCCTAACTTTAAAACCCTTATCAGATTTGTTAACGTTAGCTTGATCGTTATCGTTGAAATGTATATAACTTTTTATTTTTAGGTATTTGTTTCGCGACATACAATTCTTTACAATATTTACACCAAGGTCCTCTTGTTCACTCCAATAATGTCTTTCTGATGGCAGCTTGTGATACCCTGAGAACAACAATACTCCTAAAAATGCCTTTATGTCTTCTGATGACAATGTGAATTTAGTATCATTTTTTACTGCTGATGCATATCGAACAGTTTCTTTCGTTATGTAGTCTATAACATCATCAGTGAACATCGTTTCAAACAGTTCACACGGAGTTTTTTCAATTAGTTTAGTTTTCATGTTCTCAAATCGTACAGTAGCCCCTTTACCTTCGGTTGGAAGTTTTGTGTAGGATGGATGCACTTTACGCCATGTAGGAGAAACATCGGTAAGTATCCGTTTTCGTTTGTTCGATTTAGTGGACGTGCATTTAGGGTGACTGGCCGGTATTTCTGTATTATTACTATCGTTTACCTCAACTCGTTCTGATTGTGATGTCGTGTACTGAAGCTCAAGCTCACCTGGAACATCATTCACTTCAGCAATTCCCAGAATATCATCATCAGCTTCATCTTCGTCTGTGAGATAATCAGTTTCCGGTGGTAAAACAACGATGTCAGCAGATTCAACATCTTCCATAAAATTAGGATCATTTATTATATCTTCAATTTCCGCCAGTGTTAGAGCCCTCGTATTATAATAGTCCATATTGTTGCTGTTTACACCACGCAAGTATCATATAAAACACACAATAAACAACACCACTACAATTTTGATGTGTATGCAGTAAGGAAAGCAACGTAAATGGTAAGTTGACAATGAATCCAACAATACATTATATGCGCATGGTAACTAATGTGGGATTCGCTGGACGATACTTCTAAATACCAGCGTCCTAAAAATAGGACGGTCAAATTTTGAGGGTTATAAAGAAGTTATGTAATCAAAATAAGGGGTAAAATGGTAATAGTTACAATCACTATATATCAATGAATGTATCTATGTAGCTGAATGATAGAAATATTGCAATAGGAAACCAAAAACAAATATTATGTAAAGTAATGTATTCCAAAAGAAAATTGTGAATTTTCAAGAAATTATAAATCTCTAACTTGACCCTCTTCAAACTTCAAAAAATTAGAGAACACTTCTAGAACCCTGTTGAAATCGAAATTATCGACAGAAGTAGAAAATGGGGTCAATATTTTTCTTAAAAAAATTGTTTGTGTGTTGTCCTATAAATAGGACGCTGGATTATAATGGGTTAACACCATATATTAACAATTATTGATTAAGACGTGTTACAGATTGAACTTAATTCTAGTTTGACATAATGTGTACGATTAGTTCACGACGAAATAAAAAACGTAACTAACTACTTGCAACTTAGGCTGAGTTCAGACACGACGTTTTCCGCGCGGATGGGACCGCTCGGTTCCATCCGCGCGGAAATTCAATGTTGTTCACACACGCGCGGTTGAATACGCGGAAACAGACCAAGAGATCCCTCAGAAAGTTCAGTTTAAGCATGGATGTCGAAGAAGCAATATGCTTTTGGTTACTCTACAAAAGAATGAAAGAACGGAAAAGAAGAAAAAGAAAGTATTGGGTGCATCCAATATTGCGAGATAGGCTCACACATGGTCAATTTATAACATTATATCCCAAGTTAAGACAATATGAACCGAAGTTCTTCAACTATTTTAGACTGCGATGAGTCAGAAGTGGTTTGTGATAGTGGTGAGGGTTGTGCAGATTCAGTCACAGTAGAAGATCCCAGTGGAAAGCTGTAATGTTGATTATTCCAAAAATTTGTGTACGTGTTAGAGGGTGAATGCTGCGATTGCGATATGAGACGAATAGTATTGCCTGGTAATGTTTGTGCTTTTTGAAGTACCTGCAGTAATTCTATCTTAGTTGCCAGACGCTTTTGCTCAGGTACATTTTTTAGTTCTTTGTACAATGACAAACAAAAGAGTTTGTCTTCATCTTGGCTGACAGTTTCATGTTGAAATTTGTCTCGTGTTTGGATACTTCTTTCCAATAAATCGGTTAACCGTTCCTCGGAAGAATTCAAAGTTTTCTTCTTTTTCGAAACAGGACGAATATCCCTAGGTTCTACAAAATCTTCTTCTTCACCCTCATTTCTTTGCTCTTCATTTCTTGGTTCCTCAACGTTACTGGTGGTTTCCTTATTCTCAGCACACACTTGAAGAAATGAGAGCCGGGAAAAATAAATGTACGTTGTACCTTTCTGTGACCCCGAACCGGAGGGAATCGATGTATTTTTCTTGTACTCTTTCATGTATGCGTCGCGGATGTTTTTCCACTTTTTTTGCAATGTGGCTCCTGAAAAAAAAGGAATTAGATGATTAATTTACTGTTGCGCCCTCTAGCGCTAGACTGACAAACTTAATTTCTAACAATTTCTCATGGCCACTTTAACAAAATTTGTTTTTTTCTTGAAACCATGCGACTGACACTTTCTGAGATGCAGCAGAGAGCCATTCTTAGTGGGACGCCCTGTACAATATGTATTTGTTTTTTTTTTCAGGTATTTGGGGACGGGGTGTTCATTTGGAGAACTGCACTATAACTTTCGGCTTGGAAAATCTACAGTCACAGGGATAGTGCGTCAAGTATGTGAGGCATTATGGTCAATATTGTCAAATACTGTAATGCCGGAACCGACTGAAGAGATATGGAGAAGAATTGAAACTGAATTCAAGGAGAATGCAAATTTTCCCAACTGCATTGGCGCCATTGATGGGAAGCATATTCGAATCATAAAACCCCACCACTCAGGATCTCTTTATCATAACTACAAAAAAAATTTTTCTACGGTACTTTTAGCAATTTGTGACTCCAACTACTGCTTTGTTGCTGTTGACATAGGGGCTTATGGCAAAAGTAGCGACTCTGCTGTTTTCAAAAATTCAATTTTTTATAAAAGATTATTAGCAAAGTCATTAAATATACCAGCCTCAAAGCCCATATCTAACACCGACCATGTATCATTGCCACATGTCATAGTTGGGGATGAAGCCTTTGCTTTAATGGAGAACATAATGCGACCATATGGAGGCAGTTCTTTATCCTATGAAAAAAGGATTTTTAACTATCGATTATCAAGGGCTCGACGATACATCGAGTGCACTTTTGGAATATTCGCTAATAAGTGGCGCATCTTTCATCGACCGATTGATGTAAATATAGATTTTGCCGAGAATATTATAAAAGCATGTTGCGTGCTGCATAACTATGTGAGAATCAGGGACGGTTACAAGTATGAAGATACTCTCTATACCGCACCACTAACAACTTTGAATGGACTGCCCGCAGGTAGAGGAACCCCTTCATCTTTAAATATGCGAGATAAATTTGCAAGGTATTTTGTAAATGAAGGTCGTGTCGAATGGCAAGATAAAATGATATAATTTTTTTCAAGTTGCTTTAATTTGATTATTATCTATAGAACTCTGTAATACGTACCTAATTAGTTTGAAATACAAAACCACTTACCAAGTACAATTATTTTTTTTTCTAATGTGTCTTCCCCATGTGCAAATATTTCCACCAATTCCTGCCAGGCTCCATTTTTCTTAATTCTATTGGAGTAATCGGCACTTTTCATATCCCAAATTGCAGGCATTTTCTCCACTTCATCAATGAATAGTTCGGTATCGAAGCGCTCCATCATCATCAAAACGTTTGTTCCACACGGATTCCGCAGTCGAACTGAACACCCTCATTTGTTGTAATACAAACAGATCCGTGCGAATTCCGAGCGGTAACATGTATTTGGCGGTTGACCGACGGCTACCGAGCGGACTTGGATCCGCGCGGTTACGTATGAACAGATATATTGACTCCAAATAGACCCGAGCGGATGAAACAGCGCGGTTTCAATCCGCGCGGAAAACGTCGTGTCTGAACTAGCACTTAGAGAGAAATGTAATAGCGGTTTTCTTAATTCTAATAATTTCTAGAAATATGCGAAATGGAATAAACTTGAACAATTAATATTGTAACCATTGTAACTTAACCATTATTGTTAATCGGATGGTCCTTGAGTCTGTAAATTGTTTTGTAATCTCTTTAGTTGCCACTGTAGGATTGCGATTTCTTGTTGAGTGATTTGGAGAAAATTCGTTTAGGTACATTTTTTTGAATATTACCGAAATCAAAATCATTGAATTCTCTAACCAAGTTGTGTAAAATACACTGGCTTTTATAATGTCGTTAGCTTCTTTGTATGTGTTTCGATCTCTTTCGTTAATATTCTCCACTTAGCACAAACAATACCGAAAGCACACTCTACACATCTTCTAACCCTTTACAACCTGTAATTCAATGCCGTTTTTCCAGGAGTTAAATTATTTCGAGGGTAGTAGGGAAAGAATGGAGGGGCACGGCATCCACCTTGACCCTGTTCATGACCTCACCTAAATGAAGGGGGACGCAATTGCACTGTCTTTGGCCTCGTGTCTGACTGATTTATGACCTTTTAAAATGAACGGGGATGATTTGAAATACATACTTTTACTGTGTTATGTGCAGTAACTAGTGGAATGTTGTTAAGGTATCTACAAAAAAAACTTGCCTACGTTCGGTTTTGTAATATTCACCGGGTATAGACCTACAACGAATTAAAAACTTGCACTTCACACTACAAGAGAAACTGAGCGTACATCTGATTACCTCGAATGCGCTTACGCAGAACTACTATTCGTTTCCACAGAACAACTAAATTGGATGAATTATTTTCACCAAGCAGAGTTGCATTGCTTTTCACTTAAAATTAATTTTTTTTATTCAACGTTTTGGTCAATGTGTTCCTGTTTGATATTTGATCTAGTTGGTGGTGTTGGTTGATAAAATAAATATGAAAGTACTCCTTCAGAGGCTAGAAAACGCCTCCTCCTTTACTGTTCACCTAGTAGTCAGACAAAATATTTTATGTATTAGGATCTGAGATGCTTCATCGCCGAAAAGGACCTCTTAATTTTAGACAGAGATGATATTATGTATAACATTTTATGACGGATACTCCTTCATTATATTCACGTGATACAGAAGCTCCGCAACATTTTGTTACGGTAAATTTTGGATTAAATGAACTATTTGATAATGTGTCATTATTAAGAATGCATTAAAAAAAGGCCACGTACACACTACAGTAACAGTGACCAATTTGTTTTCCCTATTGATGTTGGGCCTATTGTTTGCAGAAAGCCTTATATCTCTGTAAAGAAGTATTTGTCTGTTCAATAGTACTAGCGTAGGGATTAATAGTACAATTTTATGATCCGCTACAGTCAAACACCTATGATTATTGTTAACGAAAACGGACTAAGTTTGTAGTTTTCCGTGACTATAGTTGAAAATTGAGCTTTATAAACTTTAAAAATATGATTATTTTTTAGATCTTTCACGAGCAGCGCAGTGTAAATCTGCAATACGGAATTGTCAAGTCATTGCTTTTTATTTAATGTCACGAAATCCTTTAGCTGCAGTCCATTTTTAAATGTACAACCAGTGTTATGTACGATAGAATGGACTGTACGTACGTAATAAATTGTAACGTAATTTATTGTAATGATATTAAATCTGTTTTGGCGCAAAACGACAATGAAATCAAGGAAAGAGGATAAAAAGATTTCTTTCGTTTTCGTCAACAATTAACTTCGTAATTTGAACTTGATAATTTGATGCTTTTAAATCTTCAATCTTTGATGGTTAATATCCGTCTCGTAGGACCAACCTACAGGTACAACAAACAACAGGGGGTTGAGATTAGATCCTTGTGGAACTCCTGAACATGCTTTATAAAAATGTACGGTAGTACCTGGTTTTGGCGTTTCTAGCCTACATTTGTTCATCTGCTTGCAATCCGACTCATGCCTGCTCAATTTCGTTTGAGAATTAAAGTAGTGGAGACACCTATCACAAATGTATAATTTTCTGTTGTTCCTCGTTAACTGCGAATGCACTAACTTAAACAAATTTTTGATCTAACAAAAGTGGAATTTCACAGCTTTATCTCTATGATCATCAACGTTGTCATTATTATTATTATTATCCTCAATTTCATAATCATCTTAGATCGTTAATAAATTTACATGCTGTTCTTTTTTATTTGATGATAAGTTTGACAAATGTAAGTGCCTTGCCACAATAACATGCAAATAAATTATTATTATTATTAAAAAAGGGGACGGTGATGTAATTAGAGATTTTCGGATAAGCCCATAAACGTTAAGGGATAAATGAGCATTTTGTTTTTCAAATTTAGGAAGTTGGCTTAGAGTCATAGGAAAATTAATGTCTTGAAAATTTAGGATTTTAGCATAATAAGGATATGAGGAAACACGATCGGAATGTTGGGACACAGAGAAAAGAGCTGAAGATAAGGCCCATCCGAAACAAGCCTCATCGTTATTTTTAACGTTGATGACCGCATGTTTCACTTTAACTTCATTAGGTAAATCGATGTACGATGAAGCTTTTACTAAAGTTGTACCATTAGCGTTCACAGTTAATGAAATAATTCGCGATAAAGCCCACCCACTCTGCTGTTCGTCGAAGTCAAGCAAACGATAGTCTACGTTTGATTCAAATACTTTTTTCAAATTTTCCTCCTCCAAATTACAATTTAAAATAGTAAAATTTCGCGTATTAAAACTAAATTCTCGAGCATTTAAATCTAAATTATCGCTATTTGAGGATGGTTTGACAAATTCTGCACAAAATTCACAATTTACTTTTAAATGTTGATTGTACTTGCTAAAAATATGTCTAATCTTATTTGAAAAGACCTTACTACTATCACTAAAAAATGTTCCTATTGTTTTATGACCCGAATTAATAATAATGCCGGTGCTCACCCTTGATTTAAAGGCTGTTACTAAATCCCTCCATTTCACTAATGGTCTTGCTTCGAGGGATGTGCCGGATATAGATGCATCCAATTGATTGATCATCAGCTTATAACGCTCCATCTTCGCGGCGGCTGCTGCAAGATGTTTCTTATCCGCTACCGATATCGTAGCTTCTAATGAAACTTTAATCGACTTTAGGTTGGCGTTGATCACGTCTATCATTTTTGGAATCTGACATGCTATACCATGATGGTAATTTTTATAAAAATGTTGGATCAAATTGACCGATGCGTCTATATTTTCGATAATTGAAGACGAAGACATTTTTTTAAACGATTGGTAAATTAGGTAGCTTTAGCTAATGAAATACCTAGATACTAGTTATGAACTGGATATTAGACGTATACCCAATTGTTTTTATATGAAGGTGCTCCCCTCCTCTGTACCTATCATATATATTTAAAAAAACAATTATGATAGCAAGCATATCGCATTTATTAATATTATTTTGAAAAAAACCAGTTCACACTATACCCATCTTAAATTTGTTTAATTGATTGACTACTTCATCATCCATTTCTCGCATCCTTTGCGGTAAAAATATTGATGTATTACCGACAACTTCACATACAATTCCTCGTCCAAAATGCGTGATAATCGATTTTATTTTTTCAATTTCGTATATTTTTACGCCCTCAATGTCTTGCAATTTAAGGACACTCCTTTCAACAATATTTCCGATCGCGTTAATTCGTTTAGATCCATTATTTATTTATTGGAATAGTTACACCAACTATATAAGTTTGAAAGAGTTTCTTCTTCTACTCAAACAATTTAGATACTAACTATATTAATATGAAAACGCTTCGTATACATTAACGCGACATCCTGCGGAAATCTTTATATAGGAAACAGTGAAACTATACAAACGGGGAACATTAACAGAAAAAAACAATACGCGGCAACCTACAGAAATCTTAATCAGCAGAAAACAGTGAACTTATATAGGCAACGACAATATTAATCAACAGGAACAAAACGTTAGAACAAAAAAGTTAAAAAGAAATCGGGTTGTTAAGCTAATTATAGGAAACAATGCCAGCATGAAATCAGACGATGTAGCGAGTGGCGGGGAAAGCCTTGTGACCATAGTGAATCCTCATATAAATATGTTGATGCTTCTTCTCAATTTCAATATTATTTAGTGCACCCATTTCAACACGTAAGTGTTAAATTGGTTTGCAATACAAGTATAAGAAAACCGATATCTTTTTAGAAGATACCTTTCTCCACCAGTCAATTGTCTTTAATTGTACGCTTAAATACACTTGTAAACAAACAATAACATTTTGAATATTATTTATTACACCCATTTCAACTACAACTATCAAGGTAAGTTTGGTATCGAAACAAATCAATTTTTGTAGGATCTACATTTACATGTCTATAAAATCTAGAAGGAAAACTTCCCAATTCTAGTTGAGGATAAATACGTAGACTTTGTTTATCCAGTTCAATTCGATGAACTAATCGATTGATTCTAAATTTATAATCTACTTCATTTTCAAGCTCATTCATTTCAATCGATCGAAATTCTTCCCGCTCATCCTCACCACTAGACGAAGGCGTTGAAGAAGTATATGATAACGATGGAGATGCCGGTGTATAAGGTGTTATCCAAGGATACGTATATTCCAACACTTGCGCAGCCTCCTCATACTGTTTACGAGTGAACGTTCGATTCAGAACAGAGGTGTTATTAATACCTACGATCAAAGTAGAAGGATATGATTTTTTAAAGTTTTGAGTTAATGTTGTCTTGTAGATTCCCCTGTTAGATAACGCTTCAAAAATTTCATGTACAGATCATTTTTAGTGTTCTTGATTGCCACAAATCACATACAAATAGATAAGAAACGTAATATTAAAAATTGGATATATATTTAGCGCCATCCCGTGGATGCGAGGATAATTAATTTATAAAACGCGGCAAATTTAAATATATGTAATTGGTAACGCTGGTCTGGAAATTTTTTCAAGTAGTCAATTTGTGATGGACAAATTGAATACTTGAAAAAATGAAAATTTATTGTTCACTTAAGGCTGAAACATCTATCGGTCCGGTCAAATATATTCTATAATGAACAAATACCGTGGTCATTTGATTGGAGCGTGCCTGGACTGTTACCCGTAATGTGAATAGCGGTTTCAGGCTTTATGTTAAATTAAAGCTTACACACTAATCCATTCCGTACCAGCCAGGGAATGTCCTCATCGCAATGCACACTGGTCATTTATGTTGACAGTTTTCTGATGGTTCATAATGTGACGGAATGGATAAGTATGTGTAAACCTTATTACTTGTCAACCGATAATGTGTAAGTAGGACCATTATTTAGTGTAATTAAATTATAGATTATTACACATTTTTGCCCTTTGAGTACATATTGTTAATGGAAGTATGAATTTTGAGATTGTGATCAAGAAACAGTTAGAGGTACAGAAATAAATGGATGATATTGAGAAACACCAATCATGTATTTATATAACCCAGATAATCAATAAAGATAGTGATGTCGTTTATTAGTTAATACTTTCACACAATTACAATGACAATACAATCTACAAATTCATTCACATACAAATACAATAAGTATACTATAAAAAATTTGGTACACAGATGTAACAAGGATTACAATCACTAAGGTTACTCACACCTCTTTTTGTATTTATGGTGTAATTTGCATTTACTTTTATATTTTTTTAATGCTTCAAGTTTCACTTGATCAATACCACTTAAATCAGTTCTGGTTGCCACTAACTTGGAAAACCGTTGATCTGAACCGTTAGAAATTCGATTAATTTGTTTACACCAAAAATGTAATACTGTCTTAACAATTAAATTAAGAACTAATGACCCTAGTTGGGTATGTTTTTCACAATTGAGAACATTAAAATTTAATAATTCTGCTATTTTTTTTGCTAAAATTTTATGTAGCATGAACTTATGGCAATGCCTTGGAATTAAATAAAATAAATATGAGCAAGCTTGCCCTACAATAAAATATAAATAGCTGCCAGGTCTAAATAGACTGGATTGTTTATATTCCCTAGCTTCAATAACATCTAATGGCACATCATTATCTGAAGAAGTTAGCAAAATTTTACATAAATTACAGTTATTTGTTTTATTCAACACTTTTTTTCCAATATATCCAGCCAGATATGCTATTGTTGCTTTTGCAATCTGAGTTTTTCTGACATGTAAAATGTCTGGCACATTCTCACAAATACTTACATCTAACGGACTAATGCCAACAATCTCCTCACCCGTTAAAAATGTGCGTAAGTTGTCCAGCGCGCCTACATTGAAATCTTTTTCACAATTTGAAAACACGGAGTGGCTCGACAAAAAATTATTGATTAAAAGTGCTTTAAAGGACGATATAAAATGAAATGCACTTGGGGATACATTTCGCCTTCCATGACTTCTCACAGATGCAAAAAAATTTTCAAGACAGTCTTGGTTAAAAGCACGTGGTAACACATAACTCACCTTATTTAAAAGTTTTTTTTTTAAATGTATAAATCCTTTAATAGTATAAACTAAATTTTTTATTGACGGCACATGCACCAATTTTTGTTTTGACGAATCCAAGAACTTCATAGTTCCCAAAACATGAATCGCTGTTGTCCAAAATGCCTCATGGGGAGAAGTTTTTGTTAATGCTCCTTTTAGAGGTTTACTCACAGGAGCGAGTTTGTTGTTGCCATTTAGACTGTCAAACAATGCATCCACAAATAATACAAATGCGCCAGTTTGCTTAGCTGCAGGTGGTAAACTGTATTCAGTATTGGTATCTGCAAAAATTATATTAAAATTCTCTTTGCAATTATACTTTCAGTACTTACCCCAACCAGCGAAACGTTGTAAATGAGATCCAACAGCATAACTGAATATTTGAGTCATGCTTGACACCTTCATTTTATTTATTTTATTGGGTATCACATGATTGTCTGTTAATTTAATTAACATACGTGTATCATCATATGTATCCAAAAAATATAGTTGTTCAATATGTTTCCAAGTTGCTACTTGGTCTACTCCATTCATATTGAAATGCAGATCTTTATTTAATAAGTTATTCCGCAGGCCTTTAAAAAGATGTGGCACATCGTATAGGGGAATAACTTCTTTGTCATTAATTAATATACCCAAGTAATTGTTGGGTATTTTGTTCATTACACAATATTCGTTAGTTTCCTTCAATAAAGAATTAATCGCCGCTTGATTTCCAGCACCTTGGTCACAGATTGTAGCAACTACTTCAAGCCCAACACGTTGACACATAGTGACAATATCTCTTATCATATGTTTCAGTTGTGTTGAAGAAAGGGGTCCACTGGAGAAAGTAAATGAAAGAGGCTGTTTCCATTGTCGATACACCCCTTTGATTAAAAAAACGTTAGCATGATCTGCTATATGTGGATATCTCTTAAATCCTAAATCGGTCAACCCCTCAATGCAGTCGTATTTGGAACTATAATGTAGCAGCGGTGAGATGGAAATTTCATCGAATACAACGGCACATAGTTTTTCATTTTCGGGCAAACTTGCAATCACAGTCCTAAGGCTATTTTCCACTTGTTTATTGATCCCTGGACGATATGGTAATTTATTTAATAAATTTGTCAAGGTACGTCGTGATGGAAGTGCAAATATTTGTGACAAAAGACGATATCCTTTCCCACTTGTTTTCAAAAGTGTTAACGATAGGATTTTTTCGTCCAATGAAAATCGACGAACTTTTGGTGCCTGTTTTTGAGTACGCACCTGTTGAAGAATAAACTTGTAAGTTAAATCGTTAACACTGTTTACTAATTCCGAAAAACAGGGGTTTTGTGCAGCCTTCGTTGCCAGAAGTAACCTATTTTGCAAGTTTCCAAATTTGTGCTGTAACTTGGCTGTTTTTTTTGCCCATTCAGTAACAACGTTGTACATCTTCTTACAGCGTGGAGTTAATTGACTCTGCCTAGTTACATTCACGACTTTTAAAAAGCTTCTTCTCTTACGACCTAATAAATTATGTAAATATTAGATAGGTAAATATGATAACCGACTTAGTTTAAATTACCATCTGATGGTGGTGACTTCAATGGGGGGGGAGTTATGTTCTCAACTGTCGGAGCCTCGATCTGAGCAGTACCTGCGTTCTCTGTAGCTGCACTTTGAATACATTCTATAACCAGTGTTTTTGTGTTAATCAGAAGAATATTTTTTATCTGTCATACCTGTAAGCTGCAATATAGAAGATGTAGATGGAAATACTTGTATAGTAGTAGGATCTTGAGTAGGATTATTCTCTGTACCCGTTGCTTCAGATGTAATATTAGAAGTGTTGTCGATTCCTATGAGTATTTAATTGATAACTTGTACTTAAGTTTGTTAGTGTATTTGTTCAACAATACCTGGTATGTTCAAAGTTGGCACAGCATCACGCGACAAACCTCGTCTTGTTCCTGGTGATAAATGCTTTTCAGCAAAATGGTTGTGACATACATAAAATGAATCATATATTTCATGTACTTCACGATCCATAAGTACAGGATTCTGTATAAGCTGAATCCACTGACAACACATATTTACATCTTTCGGAAAACGGTGTCTTTTTGCGGTTCGATCAGAACAGCCCGGTACACAGCACTTATGTTTATATATTACATTCGGAAAATCCATTGCACTTAAACTTACACTTACACTTGCTCGCAATAAAGTCAATAAATGAATAAACTAGCAGAAAATATATACACAGGGTAACCGAAAAAGGAAGTAGAATACTATTACAAGTACGTAGTATAAGTAATAAACAAGAATGGATATAAACGCGGTAAAATTGGTGGTTTTAGAGGACAATTTACGCACGAAACGAATAAATCACAATACGAAGTACAAACGAAACACGTGTTGATTTGGTTATGTTTGTGACAGTAAACTTTACGACATGTTCAACATGAGTCACGTTGGTCACGTGCAAACGAAGCGTACCCTGTCGGTTGCGAGGGAAATCTTTAGTGAATTGTTGAACCATATTAATTGTATTCCCACCCAGCTCATTCACGTTACCAATCTATTTGTATGTGATTTGTG